CCCATCAGCAATCGTCGGTGTCTTTGCAGAGGTTCTCCGAGCCATGCAGCAGTGCGGTCAGTTCCCCATGGCTTTCACGCATGTTCCGAACGCAGCGTTGAGGAAGGAGGGGTGGCTGGTTCAATCAGATCAGACGCTTCTTGCTGTCCTCTCTGTTTGGCTTTAATCCTGGGAGGTCCCGATGTATCTAAACATTGGACCTTGGAGACGTAAGTGGTGCCCTCCCACATGCTTCGGAGCTTCGGCTGGAGCCCGACTTTCTGATGCCTCGACGAGCCTCGCCCTGCAGGTCGAGTGGTCCAAGCGCATGGAGCAGTGCATCCGCGGTCTCGCCTTGAACCGCAACCAGTGCTTCGACCTGATTGTTACCCCGAGGTGTACCTGTTTGCAACCTCGAGATGCTCTGAAAACATATTTCGTGTGAGAGAATATTTCCCAACCATCCTGTGGTGTTGGGTCCTCGTTTTGAAGAGACGGTGCCCCGCGTCTCCTCTCCTTCCTTCCTTCCTCCTCCTCCACCTCCTCCCCCCTCCCTCCTCCCACTATCACGGCACACTCCTCACGCGTTTCGTGGCCCCATAGGGAGCTCCACCGAGGGCCCCAGTGGCTGCGTCCGCATGGCGGCGCCGCACCCATTTCGGCACACCCCTCACACGTTTCGTGGCCCCATAGGGAGCTCCACCGAAGGCCCCAGTGGCTGCGTGTGGCACACCCCTCACACGTTTCGTGGCCCCATAGGGAGCTCCACCGAAGGCCCCAGTGGCACCCGCACCCCATTTCGGCACACCCCTCACACGTTTCGTGGCCCCATAGGGAGCTCCACCGAAGGCCCCAGTGGCTGCGTCCGCATGGCGGCGCCGCACCCCATTTGGCACACCCCTCACACGTTTCGTGGCCCCATAGGGAGCTCCACCGAAGGCCCCAGTGGCTGCGTCCGCATGGCGGCGCCGCACCCATTTCGGCACACCCCTCACACGTTTCGTGGCCCCATAGGGAGCTCCACCGAAGGCCCCAGTGGCTGCGTCCGCATGGCGGCGCCGCACCCATTTCGGCACACCCCTCACACGTTTCGTGGCCCCATAGGGAGCTCCACCGAAGGCCCCAGTGGCTGCGTCCGCATGGCGGCGCCGCACCCATTTCGGCACACCCCTCACACGTTCGTGGCCCCATAGGGAGCTCCACCGAAGGCCCCAGTGGCTGCGTTCGCATGGCGGCGCCGCACCCATTTCGGCACACCCCTCACACGTTTCGTGGCCCCATAGGGAGCTCCACCGAAGGCCCCAGTGGCTGCGTTCGCAGGCGGCGCCGCACCCATTTCGGCACACCCCTCACACGTTTCGTGGCCCCATAGGGAGCTCCACCGAAGGCCACAGTGGCTGCGTTCGCATGGCGGCGCCGCACCCATTTCGGCACACCCCTCACACGCTTCGTGGCCCCATAGGGAGCTCCAACGAAGGCCACAGTGGCTGCGTTCGCATGGCGGCGCCGCACCCATTTCGGCACAACCCTTACACGTTTCGTGGCCCCATAGGGAGTTCCACCGAAGGCCCCAGTGGCTGCGTTCGCCTGGCGGCGCCGCACCCATTTTGGCACACCCCTCAAACGTTTCGTGGCCCCATAGGGAGCTCCACCGAAGGCCCCAGTGCTACCGTCCTCATGCGTCCGTACGCCCAGGACAGCGTTTCGTGGCACGCCTTTCGTGGCCCCATAAGGAGCCCCACCGAAAGCGGCACCCACAAAGCGTTATTCACAATTGCATATGGTTGGGTCCTTCGCCAGGATAATTTTACCGACACCGCAAGCACTACCTGAGGATGTCGGACACGTGCAGCGAGGCTGTGAACAGAACAAATGCCCACTTTCAAGACTCGGCTTTCAACACCAATGATACAACAATGCAACTTTATGAGCGTACGTTATTCAACGCTCTGGGACATCACCAGCACACGCGAATCACTACGACACTCTCTGCTTTTTCGACCAGGCCTCAGGACAATAGTTTCATCTGGGCAAGCTAGTCGCCTGGACCACGGCCATCGGCATCATCGCAGACATCACGGTCAGAGGAGACAACCTTCCTGTCAAAAAGGCTGCCAGACTGGTCGGCAGCCAGATAATTACCAGAAACGCCGACGACACCACGCTTACGGTCAAGCGCGTGAAGGATGCCATCCAACGACGTCGACAAATCCAACGGCTACCAGTCGCACTCGAACAACGAGATGCAGTGGCACAATCGGTGGCAGCCTACATGAATGCAGCTGGAACGGACCTCGGTGCACCATCACGTACCAAGTTGCGAAGAACCCGTGGCTTGCTCGCGTAAAGTCTGCGGTCCACTTTGCTCCCAACCATCGCTTGACTTACCAATCAGAGTTCTTCGGCCCCCGCCAGAACAGTGCTCGAACTGAAGCTGCTGCCCTACTTCATGCGGCACGAGTCGCCGAGTAGCCGGCGTGAATGTTTTGTGATAACTTTCAGTGCGTTCGAGGGTCTCATAATATCCGCCTGACGCAAACTGGGCGGACATATGGCTGCATATTCAGACGGTGATCAGCATCGAGGTCGACATGTTCGTGATTGAACATGTGTTTTCGCACAAGGGCGGGGACTGTGTGGATCGTGGCGCCGTCTAACCCGTGGCTGAAAAGATGAACCTGGCTGTCGACCTGCTTGCCGCTGAAGCCGCCAAGAGACACCCCCTCCCGACCTTAGTAATCAATACAGCCAAGGGCCAATTTTTGTTGACCGCTGCGATGCACAGAACCATTGTCAAGATTTTAGACAAGCGAGCCTTCACCCGACCCCTGCCCCATCGGTCCGCGGGGTACTCGGAGGCCCACCTCGCTCGTCTCACTCTCCTCGGTACCTCCGCCTCTCTCCTGCCTCCTCCACCTCCCCCTCCCCCTCCCGACTAGGAGAAGGACCTGGGGGCCGGGTGGAGCTCGAAAAAGAAGCCGAAATGGACGCCTTCGGATTTGGATTATGGCTCAGTAAGCCGTTTTTGGTACAGTTCTTCTTAGCGACTATATTTCAGTGCCCGTTGGAAGAAGCCCGTGGCAAGAGACTGACCCAGCGGTGTGTCTCCGTCTTGGCTCCCACTTTGCAGTCTGACTCCGTCTTCAAAGTCTTGGAATCAAGGTAGCTCCCATGTGTTCTACATGTCAGTGGTGGTGCAGGCGCTTCGAGCCCAGACTTACCACACACAGAACGCAAAACATCATTGCCCCCATCATCGCTGTCGTCCTCATCATCGTCAACACCGTCGTCATCATCATCACCACCAGCATCGTCACCACCACCAGCAAGCTTATCATCACCATCACCACCATCGACATCATTAGCACCATCTTTATCATCACCATCAGCATTAATCACCACCACCATCATCACCAACATCACAACCATTACCAACATCATCATCACCATCGTCATCAGCATCCTCATCCTCGTCGACGGCAGCATCATCATCACCACAATCATCACCATCACCACCACAACCATCACCATCGGCATTATCATCATCGTCATCAGCGCCATCAACACACCCATCACCATCATGATCATCACCAACATCAGCGTCAGCGTCATCACCAACATCACCATCAACATCATTCTCAGCATCACCATCATCATCACCATCAACATCCTTGTCATCATCGCCATCATCATCACCATCCTCGTCACCACCTCACACCATTCGTGGCCCCATAACGAGCTCCGTCAAATGCCTCAGTGCAAGGGCTCGCATCTGTGACCCCGTCCATTTTGGCCCAAACATTTCCCTCGTTCACGGCGCCCGCGCCTCCCCGGACGCAGACGATTCCGAAAACTCCTCGACGAGCCACTCTGCCGCGGTCGCCGCGTCTCGCGACGCCGCCAGGGCGTGACCGAAGGCGGCCCCACCCCGCCATCCCCCGCTGTGGAACAGCGCTGGGGCGCCCATGGCAGCCAGGCATTCATCCGCCCACCCGCGGGGGAAAGCGTGCGTGCCCCACTGCTGGGCCAGGGCGGGTCTGTACGACGACGCCAGGATGGCCCCCCTGCCTGCCCGTGCGCGACCGCGTAGCGCGCGCTACGCAAAGCTGCCCGGATTGCAAAGCGCAGATGCACCGCCTAGACACAGCCGTCGTCAACGTGTACGTCTTGCGCCAATGCAGGTGCAACCGTCGGCAAGCCGCCCTCGGTGGACAATACTACCTTGGAATGGGGCCCGTCTGCCTGCGGCGGCACCAACTCGGACGCGAACCAAAAACATTGCGGCCTGGCCGTTACGTTCATATGCGCCGTCTCAGGATCGCCCAGCACCTCCCGGACGTGCTGCGCCAAGGATCAGGGCTGTCGCGCCGAGACCTGCGCCCAGAAACGCCGAGTGGCCGCGGCCGCCTTGCTCGCTTCACGCGCGAAGCACGACGTTTCCTTCAGGCACCTCAGTGGCGCTAGGAGTAGCCTGAGCACAGCGCGCATCTGCGTGCAATAGAAGTCAATAGAGTGGCCCCGTTTTACCCTGCAAATGCGAATGCTCCGAGCAGTGGTTCTGACAGGGGCCAAGCATCAGCCCCGAGTTTCTAGGCCACCTGCCCCCGCAGGCACACCGGAGAAACATGCTTGTACGCGCTGGTGCCATGCGAGAAACTCGCGTCTGAGGAGCTCCTTCGTGGCCATGAACCCGGCCATATCTGACCTGACGTGGCCTGGTGTTGCCGGGGGCGCCACCGTGGCGCTTCTCCCACGCCAGCTGCAGCTCCTCTGGTTGTGACGCGGCCCAGCGCCTGCACCGCGTCCGCCTCTGGGGCCCACGATCTCGCGCCGCAGGCGCGCTTCAGCGAGGAAGCTGAGCGCCTCCAGCGCCGCTTCGCCGATCTCCGCGGCCTGCCCCGTGGCCGGCGCCTCGCCCCCTGCTTGCGCGGGCCCTCCTGCCGGGGAGGCTTCGACGAGTGGCGGCGCAAGCGCGCCCCGTTGGGCGCGGGCCTCGGCCTGCGCGGAAAGGTGCCCCCCACCGCGGCGCGAGCCGAGACGGTGGCCAAGGCCGTTGTGAACCCGTCTCGGAGCCCGCGGAGGCACTGCCACGCGCGCCTGATGCCCGAGCCAGACAAATCAGCTTCGTCAGTGGCGCCCCCAGCAGCCAGGTCCCGCAGAGCCGCCTGGGGCACCGGCGCACGGCTCCCAGGAAACGCGAGCCGGAGCGCGATGGCGAACCGCTCGCAGAGAGCCACCTAGGCCGGCGGCGGCACCGCCAGGTCTGCCGGCGGCGTGCGCGGGGCCAGCGCCGGGCCGTTATCGCCGCAAGGCTGCTTCCCCGCAAATGTTTCTGGTCCATATTGGGCCAAGCCGGCTGCGGATGTCAAGCGCGGTGCGCCAGGCAAGCCGAGCCGGAGACCAGCAACGGGCGATTCACATGCATTTTCACTTTTTCCTTCGGCGCATCGCGCGTTTTCCTTCGCTGGCTCACGCCCGCCCACAGTCGACATGCGGCCAAGTCAATTCGGCTCGGGAAGAACCGCTGGCTGCCAACTGCTGCATCTCATTGGCCTTTAGCTTTTCCCGGGCTGGCCAATCTGCAACGGTGTGGTGCAATGCGATGGAGCGCGAAGCATACTTAGCATATGGGCGTCCGCCGCGACGAACCGTACGCTGGGCACGATGTCGTTCTAGTCGCTGTCGTGAGCAGCCGCGAAGCAACGTGCCCAACGCCAGCGTCGACTCTATCAACAGTACGATGTCGATGCCACCCGCGCTCGTGGCAGATCCATTTAAATGCCACAAAGCGCAGACAGCGGCAACCAGCTCCCACGTGGCAATCTGCTGCCTGCGGAAGCACGCCCACTGGGTGAACCAACGGAGAACTCGCGCAGGAGCAAGCACATTCTGGTCAGCAAGCGCCGCGGCCCAAGTCAGCGTGACTGCGCCTGTAGCGTCCGTGTGTTCCACGATCCGCGGTCCGACAGGCGGCTCCACACGCAAACTGCTGTGCGGATTCGTTGAAAGTTGCTCGGTTTCTTGCAATCATTGGTGACGCGGCAGCCCGAACATTGTTCAACCAACTCGATTTTTAGAGTTCTTGGGCAGCGCGCTGCCGAACGCATTCTCAAGCAGCTTGATTTCTTGAGTTCTGAAGTGGGGCGGCGGCCCAAAACTAATCCCGACTACAAATTGCCGAAGACAATTCTTCGGTGATGCGACGGCAGGCAGCTCGGTTTCTGCAATCCCGGATTGGCACGACGGCCAGAAATTACTGAAGCCGCGCGGCGTCTAAAATGCTTGGGTTGGCGTTCTTTACCTCGGTTCCGTGTGCCTTGTGCTCTCGCGGCCCAAACTCCGCGTTCTCCAAATGTGTCCTCCATTCCGTGTCAGCAATGAACAGAAAAAGGCGGACATAAAAAACAACGAACAGTAATGTCAGCTTGTGATTAACAAGTCCGTGGGGGGCGCGTGTTAAAAAAAATCGTTCCCTGCTCGAGCGAATCGCGGGGTGGCGCCCATATTGAAAATCAACAGGGCGGCGCCGGTGATTAGCGCCGACGCCCAGCCGCCAACTATGGGCAAGGGGGGGGGTTGGCGGCAAGGGCGAGCCAGGGCGCCCCTCTTTCTGTCGAGCCGATGCGGGCCTGCGGGCAAGGCGGGCTGGACGAACCTGGGGCACAGCAAAGGGGGGATTTGCCAAGCAGCTCACGTCGCCGATTTTCCAAGCGTTTCCTGGCGCCGAAAGCGGCCGTGCGTCGAGGACTGGTCCTTCGGCGGGGCGACCGAAACTAGCTGCTTGCAGCAGGCTTTGCAACCCCTCCTTCCTCCAACTCCTCTTCTTCCTCCTCCTCCTCCCTCTCCTCCTCCTCTTCTTCCCCGTCCGCCTCCTTCTCCTCCTTCTCTCCCCTCTCCCTCCTCTCTCCTCCTTCCCCCTAGCGCGCGAGATAAAAAATATCCCAGTGCGACCCTACCTAGGAGTTGGAACCCCTAGGAAAGCAGCATTAGTAGTAACAGTAACGCTAAGCTAAAGCTAAGCTAAAGCTAAGCTAAAGCTAAGCCACAGCTAAGCTAAAGCTAAGCTAAAGCTAATATAAAGCCAAGCTAAAGCCAAGCTAAAGCTAAGCTAAAGCTAAGCTAAAGCTGAGCAACAGCTAAGCTACAGCTAAGCTACAGCTAAGCTACAGCTAAGCTAAAGCTAAGCTAAAGCTAAGCTAAAGCTAAGCTAAAGCTAAGCTACAGCTAAGCTAAAGCTAAGCTAGAGCTAAGCTAAAGCTAAGCTAGAGCTAAGCTAAGCTAAACGCCAAGCGAAAAGCTAAGCGAAACGCTAAGCTAAAGCTAAGCTACAGCTAAGCTAAAGCTAAGCTAAAGCTACAGCTACAGCTAAAGCTAAAGCTAAAACTAAAGCTCCCAAGAGACTGGGGGAACCGCTCCCAGGGGACTGGGGGAACCGCCCGGGGCGTGTTCCACTGCCCGGCCCCTTTAAGCTAAGAGAGTAAGAACCCTTCTAGGCAGAGCCTAGGTAGGGAAATATCGCGCCCCGTGGGGTCTATTCATCAGCCCCAGGGGGGGAGGGGGGGCGCCTTTTGTTAATCACAAGCTGACATTACTACTTTCAGAACAAGAAGCGCATCGAAGCGAAGCCAACGTTCGTTTCTCGCGCACGAGGACGAACACGGTGCTCATGTTCGTCTTCGACCACCTCACACCTGCTCGTGGGGCGGAAACTGGATGCCACTCCCAGCAGACACGTGGGTCCACCCTCATCGCTACGACTACGACTACTACTGCGAGTGCGAGTGCGACGACGGCTACTACGATTGCTATTACCAAGAATCCAAATCCGACTTCGAGTCCCGCTGCTGCTGCTACAACTCCACTTCCTCCTCCTCCCGCTTCCTCGCCTTTCCTCGTGTTCGCAACTCCCCCGCGGGCCAGGTCGGCCCCTGGCAGGCGCGCAAGCTGCGGCCGAGCCCCCGGCAAAGCATCTCAAGCGATTCGCGGCGCCAACCACGGCATTCTGTGTTGCCTCCTTGCCCGCCGTGGCCGGCGGCGGATCGTCGGTGCTGTCAGCGCACTCGTCCTCTGCAGCGGGTGCGGGTGCCTCGGTGAAGAGAGCCAAGGACTGCAAAATCAGGGGACAGCTCTCGGGGAGTGATTTGGAGGATGCCCGTGTCAGAAGTATGGATGCGCACGAGTGCCAGAAGTATTGATGCGGATAAGGCGTCTCAGCACTTCCTGCCCCTGGCGCCCGACACGCTGTTTCCTTGCATACCCAATCGCGATGGTGGATCGGGCGGTAGCACTACAGGATATTTACGCAACCACGGGCGCAAAATCCTCCACACCTCAGGAATGCTCTCTACCAAACGCTGGGCCCCTTCGTCGAGCTCGCCTTTGACTTGAGTATGAATCAATTTGTGGGTCGGGAGCCAAACATGTGCCACCTCTGTTACAATGCGAGCACAAGGATAGGCAATATCACTAGAACTACCTCTCTTATGCCTCTTTTTCTCTGTGCGCTGTCAATCCCTGCTGACTTCACTTCTTGTTTGGCCAGTGCCTCTCTTATCCACCTCCTCCCTTTCGTTTCCATTGTGTCGTTCTTTTCGCGTCATCTCGTATCATGGCGAGGCTGTCCCCCGAAGGGGTAGGGACCGCAGGGGTGATGGTTCAGGACTGCCGACATGAATGCTCCAGGGGGCTCCCAGGAGGGCTCCTGGAGGCCCAGCGGAAGCTGTGGCGAAACTTCTTGGGAGTTCGAAGGCCCTCCTCCCCGGGGAGGGGCCTCCACGAGGCTCTCGACGGAGCTTCCCCGGACCTCCGGGTTGCCCTCTACACGGGCCCCGACGTCCTCCGACTTGACTTCTTCGCCCGCGGCCCCAGGAGGCTCCCGACCCCCCTTTGCACGGAGGCCAGCGTCTTCGCCCCGGCTCCAGTCTTGACAGCCCCAGGGCCCGAGAGGCCGAAATCTTGGCAGCACGCCAAGATATACTGCTATGTGCTATGTCTAAAAGGCCTCCCAGATGGGGTCGGAGAATCTCGCCGCATCGCCGATGCATCGGCGATGCATCGGCCATGCGCTGGCGACGTCGGCGATGCATCGGCGACGTCGGCGAGGAGAAAATCGGGCCCCACATGGAGCCGCATCGCTGATGCATCGGCGATGCGGCGCGATCCTCCGACCCTGTCTGCTCCGACTCCATCTAGGAGGCTAGGCTTAGAATGTCGCCGCTTGGGGTCGCGGACCTGGGCGGCGGCGGGGCGGCCACGTCCCCCACCAGGAGGAGGCGGAGGGAAGGGACGAGGAGGAGGAGGAGGAGGACTGCGAGGGAGGAGGAGGAGGAGGAGGAGGAGGAGGAGGAGGAGGAGGAGGAGGAGGAAGGAGGAGGAGGAGGAGGCGGAGGAGGAGGAGGAGGAGGAGGAGGAGGAGGGAGGAGGAGGAGGAGGAGGAGGAGGAGGAGGAGGAGGAGGAGGAGGAGGAGCAGAAGGGGCAGGAGGGACCTTCGGGCGGCCCTGCGAGCTCCCCACGGGGGCGACCCTGGCCGCCGCGCACGGGTGGCGCAGCTCTGCTGCGCCTCCTGCGCCGGAGACGCGGCCCCGGGGAGGGTCCGGTGGCCGCCAGCGGGCAATGCCGCTGCGCTGCTGGTGGAGCACCCTGATGACCCAGACTCCGTCGAATGGTGAAAAATCGCGACGGGAAGTTTTTCACAATTCTCGGCCTCTGGGGGCCCCTACCAGGCCTCGGGGCCGTCAACAAAACGACTCAGGATGAGAAGCTGGTCCCTGGTCATGGGTCCAGACCGCTGGGGGTCGACGCAACGAAAAAATCATGACGTTGGGGGTCTGAGGAGCTCCCTGAGGGGCTCTCGAGCCTGCCAGGAGGCCGCCGCGCGGTGCCTCTGGAACGTCCGTGGGGCGCTCCCGAGCGTCTCTGAGGGCCCCCTGGAGGCTCCCGTCCAGGCAGTGCCACGGGCGCCTCGGGAGGCTCCGAGAGACCCGGGTGGCGCCCGAAAACTTCTGGAGGAGCCTCGGGGAGGCTCCTTCGAGAGCACATCCCATGATGCAATCGGGATCTCGCCTGCTCGTTGGTCCCTGCGGACGGCGCGGCGCTGGGGCCGGTTCTCCATTACTCAGGAGGCGCGGGCGCGGCCAGGGATTGTCCGTGCACCTATGGTATCAGATGCGGGGGGGGGGCTTCAGTCGCGGGGAAGTTCCTGGAGGACCCGCGGGGAGCTTTCGGGAGGCCCTTGAAAGGCACCAGATGCGATGCTACAGTGCAACAGAAACTTGCCCGCCGCGTTGCTGCCGTAGACTCTTGCGCCCCTGCAGCGCGGCAGCGCTTCACTTCTGCAATGCCGCAGCTCTGCTGTGCTGTTCACCGCGCTGATGCCAGAGAGCCCAGTGCCGCTGCACCCAGCAACGCTGCACTGCTACAGTGCTCTGGTGCCGCAGAGCGTCAGGCGCGAGATCCTTGGAATTTGCATGTCGCTGTCCTCGTGTAGGATGCTTTGTGTGGAAATGCTATCCATGCTGTGGGTGTGGGATGTGCCACGCCAGGAAGCCTCCCAAACTCTTCTTCCTTCTCCTTCTGCTCCTCCTCCTCCTTCCTCCCAGCCCTTCCTTTGCTCCGACGACGACGAAGACCATCGACGGCGACGGACGACGACATACGACGCCGACAGACGACAGACGACGGACGACGGACAACGGACGAAGGACGACGGACGACGGACGACGGCGACGACGCCGACGATGCCGCCGCCGCCGCCGACGACGACGACCACGACCACGACCATGACGACGCTCACGACCACGACCACGACGACGACGACGACGACGACAGGCGACGGCCAGAACTACCCGAAGGTCTCAGAAGGCCTGCCGAGACAACCTGAGGCCTCGGGAGGCTCCGAAACGGCTGGAGACGCCCTAAATCCTGGACTTAGCGTCACCCTGATGGGCACCCAGCAAACTCAGACCTGGATCGATGCAAGAATGCGACGCTCCCATGCCGCTTCCCAGCGCCAACATGACGCCTTCTGGCCACATCTTTCTGCGCGCCGCCCAAGCATGCACTGCTGTGAACCCACCTGGGTGGCACCGATGGGCCCTCGAAACCATGATCCTCGACCAGTGCAGGTCGGCGACCGGCGGACGACGGACTACGAAGACGACGGACGACGGGCGACGACCCTGGAGATCTGCAGAGGTCCCCCGAGGCCGCTGGAGTCTTCGAAACAGCTACAGACGCCCCAAATCCTGGACTCAGCGCCAGCCTGGTGGGTACTCAGCAGGCTCAGACTCGGATCGATGCAAAAAGGTGGCGCTTCCCTGCCGCTTTCCCACGCCAGAGAGGCGCCTTCTGGCCACCTTCCAGCGCGCCGCCACAGTATGCGTTGCTGTGAACCCACCTGGGTGGCACTGATGGGTCCTCGAAACCTTGAAGGGGCCCAGGGACACACCAATAAATAAACACAACTCCTAGGAGTCCCCACCCATAATCTCCATATTTGCCGGATGTTCGTCCTCCCTCCACTTACCAGATGCTCGGCATCGACGATTATTTGTGTATGTGTGTTTTTCCCCTCCTGCGAAACCTGGACCCTCGATTCTCGACCAGTTCAGGTTGGCGGACGCCAGACGACGGACCACGACGACGGGCGACGCGACGACGACAGCGGAGGTCCCCGGAGGCCCCAAAGGAGCCCAGAGGCATCCAAACTGGAGGCTTTCTGGATGGGGTCCGAGTAGATGGGGTCGGAGGATTGCACCGCATCGCCAATGGATCGCCGATGCCTCGGCGACGCCGGCGATGCATCGGCGACGTCCGCGTGGAGAAAAACGAGCTCTGCATCGAGTCGCATCGCCGATGCGGTGCGGTCCTCCGACCCCGTCTACTCGGACCCCATCTTGGGGGCCTAGATAATGAGGGCCCCTGGAGGCCGAAAACCGTCCAAAATCCCCCGTGGTGATCTTATCGCGACGCGAAGATGTCTGGGGAAGCGTAGAACCTGGAAGTCTTGGAGCCCTCGAGGCCTCGCGAGGTCTCGAGGCGGTGCAGGCGGTGCAAGGCAGCGCCCAGCGCTGTCTCTCCGAGGGTGGCGGTGGTGCAAGGACACCGGTGACCCTCGGACGCCTCTGGAGGCTCCAGAGGAGCCCAGATGCATTCAGAAACTTGCAAGCCTGGGAGCCTCAAGCCCTCGAGGCCTCCCTGATGGGCAACGATAGGGGGAGGGGCAACTCTGGGGGGATAAAATCGGGCTAGAGTCGGCGACACATCTCCGATAGATCGGCGATAGGCCCCCGATAGCGCTCCTCCGCGGGGTGGGCCATCAGGACCCTATCGGCGATCAATGGGCCATTGAGGGTCGATGATCCCGCCCCACCCGAGCCTACCCCCCCCCTAACCTTGCCACATGGTCTTCGGTCCATAACTCGGCTCTCCAGCGGCCGTTCGGGACGATTTCGACATCCCCAGAACGCCCTCGATGATGCGCAACTGCTGAACGCCATCCTGTTACTCGAAAACTTTGCGG